TCTCGTAGTCGAGCTCGCGCATCAAGTGCGCGACATTGTCGTCGACCGAGTCGGAGCACGTGGCGGCTACAGATGCAGGCAAGGAGGGACGCCGACTTCGTTTCCTTCTTGAGGAATTCAAGCTACTCGACGCTGGGAAGCCGACCATCCTCCACGTCGACAACAAGTCGGCAATTACGGTCGCTGAGGGCTTGGGGCTGACGGGCAACCTCAAGCACATGGAGCAACGCTATGCCTGGTTGCATGACATGGTGAGGCGCGGGAAGTTCGTACTGAAGTACATCCCCGACCACCGAGCAGCCGGCAGACTTCCTGACGAAGGCGCTGCATTTTCCGGCTTTCAACCGGTGCTCTGTCGCCATCGGCCAAGTTCGCCTGGCCGACGTCGGCGACGGCGATGATGATGTGCAGCAGTAGGTGCCGTGCCCTTCTGCACGGCTGGTGCGGTGACGGCGTGCTGTGTGTGGGGTGCACGCCGAGGACGAGTTTTCTCCTTAGTGTGCTGCCGTGTGGGCTAGGGGCCCAATCATGAGCGCGGCAGGGGAGTGTTAACGGGAATGGAGTGTTGGCCCCGCCCTCGCTTGGGCAACGCCGACGACTTGGTCGGATGTACGGGAGTAGTAGCCGACCGTTCACAGTGGGAGAGCTGCTCGACAGGCTTCGTCAAGCTGCAGGGGACTGCTGTGGTATTGCTATCGACCAGGGAGCTCGACAGCTGCAACTGACGGGTCTGGGCGACGGGTGGGCCGTCGACCAGGAGGGGCAGTTCGACCGGGAGGTCGACGGAGCAGTCCGTCGACCTGCAGTTCGACCGGAAGGTCGACGGAGCAGTCCGTCGACCTGCAGTTTGAATGGGAGGTCAACGGAGCAGTCCGTTGACCTGGCAAGTGAGCAGCGGTCGACGAGGGGAGCTCGGCGACAACAGCTGACAATTCTGGTCGCCGGAAGGGGTCCGTCGACCAGGGGGTAGCTCGATGGGAGCTGTGATCGACCAGGGGCACCTGGTGGTCGACCAGAGGGACCCGGTGGTCGACTTGAGGCACTTGGTGCTCTGTCGCCATCGGCCAAGTTCGTCTGGTCGACGTCGGCGACGGCGACGATGGTGTGCAGCAGTAGGTGCCGTGCCCTTCTGCACGGCTGGTGCGTTGACGGCGTGCTGTGTGTGGGGTGCACGCCGAGGACGAGTTTTCTCCGTAGTGTGCTGTCGTGTGAGCTGGAGGCCCAAGCATGAGCGTGGCAGGGGAGTGTTAACGGAAATGGAGTGTTGGCCCCGCCCTCGCTTGGGCAATGCCGACGACTTGGTCGGATGTACGGGAGTAGCAGCCAACCGTTCACAGTGGGACAGCTGCTCGACAGGCTTCGTCGAGCTGCAAGGGACCGTTGTGATGTTGCTGTTGACTAGGGAGCTCGACAGCAGCAACTGACTGGTCTGGGCGACGGGTGGGCCGTCTACAAGGGGGTAGCTCGACGGGAGCTGTGGTCGACCAGGGGCACCTGGTGGTCGACTAGAGCAACTGGGGTTGTCCAGGTCGACCGGGTAACCTACTTGGCGAGTTCTGCGGAGGCACACAAACGTCGTCGAGGTCGCGATGGCGAAGGCGACTTCGGGTTGGTATCCCGAAGTCGATGTGGCTCGTCAGGCGCAGACAACAGCCGACGGATGCACAACGGTGCAAGTCGGGCCAGTCGTATGTGCGCATCTGCGAGCGTGCGCACTGCTGTCTTCTACGGGGCAACGCTGGACAGCCGCTCTGCTGCAGCATTGGCACACCGTCGACCTGCTGTGTTGGCAGGTCGCCTTTCTGCGGTGCTGGCGCGGCTCCACTATGCAACGCTGGTAGGCGGTCGACCATGCTGTGCTGTCGGTCGACCAGGCTAGCTGCAAAGTTGCTAGGTGTCTGATGTAGTCATTGTTGTCATTGCTTGTTTAACAATTCTGTAATTCCAACTTTTCTAGTGGAAACTCTTGCCGATTTCTCCCGTGATTGTGCAAGCACTAAGGAACTAGGCAAAGCTACGATCACTCCTAGTAGTTCGTGCCAACCCCCGTAGTCTAGCTTACTACTGTTGTAGAGTGAATCTTCACATCGTGCACATGTGCAAGTGGCGCAACTGGTGCAAAGGTTTGTGGGTGTTCATCTGCGCAGGGTCGCGTCTGACCCTGCGCACCCTCGCGAATGCACAGGCGAATTTTGGCCATAAATTCGAATGTGCCCTAATTTCGACCAATGAGGAGCCAAAATTTCAGAATGTCGACCAAGGAGGTCGACGAAGGTGGTCGACGAAGGTCGTCGACCCGCGACGACGAAGGTCGTGGACCCGCGACGACGAAGGTCGTCGACCTGAGACGACGAAGGTCGTCGACCAGCGACGACGAAGGTCGTCGACCAGCGACGACGAAGATCGCCAACCTCTGATGACGAAGGTCATCGACCTGCAGGGTTGCCGGGGACTTTACCCGGTCGACCGAGTTACATGCTCGACGACGTTCTGCGGAGGTGCTTGAACGTCGTCGATGCTACTGTAGCGAAGTCGACCGACATGGCAGCACGTGGTCGACGTGGTTCATCAGGTGGAACTGTCTGCATGTGGCCGACCTGGCACCTGCGCAATGTGCGCGACAGTGCACGACGTGCGTAACTGTCTACAAGCACCTCCGAAGTAGGTGCTTGCACATGCGCTTACAATCACATGCGGATGCAATGTTGGCAAGCCGCGCGGATGCAGCGCTGGCAAGCCGCGCGGGTGCAGCGTTGGCAGGCCGCCATTCTGCAGCGTTGGCAAGTCGTACACGAGCTGCGTTGGCGGGCCGCAGACTTGCTACGTTGGTAGGACAACTTTGTCATGCTGTCGGTCGACCTGCCTCTGCACTAGCAAACCTTGCATGTGATGTAGTCAATCTTTGCCATTTCCTTGTTCATTATGAACTATGTATTCTCAACTTTCATAGTGAAACTCTTGCTGTTTTGCCCCGTGAACGCACAAGTGCTAGAGAACACAGACAGGGCTACGATCACTCCCACAACCAGTGCCTACCCTGTAGTATAGCTGCCACCATTGTAGAGTTAATCTACGCAGCGTTGACGACACTCGTTGGTTGACGCCCGTAGAGCGGTGCCCATAGATCGACACACTATCAACGCTCACCTCGTCGATCGCCACGGCTTGACGTCGTCGGCCGACTTCACTTCGTCAGCATCGCCGTGGTCGGCTTCTCTGTGGTTGGCTTCGTTGAAGTCGGCTTCTCCAAAGTCGGCTAACCAAACCAGCCAACTTACTCCCTTAAGTTGGCGCTGACCACAAAGCCTAGCTGGTTGCACACCTTGCGCAGCGGACAGCAACGTCCGCTTCGCCTAAGCGAGGGCGGGGTCTTTTATCGTCAACAGTTGAACCCGATGCCCTTTAACGAAACATGCATTTTAATTCGAGGCCCCGCCGTTGCAGTCTGGCCGCTCCCGTCTCAAGCGGAGCGAGCAACCAACAGCGAGAAATGGAAAAAGGACCTGAATGCACAAGTAGAAGCGTTGGAGCATCATGGAGCATGGGAGCCCGTTCTTAGTTTGAGATAAGGAATGAATGCGCCCGTTCTTAGATTTTGTTACAACCTTGTTGAGCCTCTGGTCCCCTGGGGCTAGGAGAACCTAGTCCCGACCTTGCTAGGAGGAATCCTGTTTTTCAGAACTGCAAAATCTGTCAATGAAGCCGCGTTGTGAGAATATTATCCAACGAATTATTTTGGTCCCCAGAAACAAGTGGCCACTTGGTTGGCATGCCTTGTCAGTTCAGCAACAACACATGGCTAGGCTTGGCGACAAGCTAGACTGCCCCATGCACAGTTCTGTGCAGACTGAGGCGGTCCCGCTTGACGGCCAAATTTCAGACTGTCGTTACTAACGAAATCGTCGTTTACTGTGTCTCGCAAGCAGCTCACATGGAAGGCTCAGGGCAGGGCCGCCTCTCGCATCAAATCAGCGGAGAGTCAAGTGCACAACGCGATCCTGAGGCAGCATCCTCATTCGTCGGAAGGGCCATACAGTTCTCAGCAGGCTCACTGGCTGGCATGTGCTTTCACGCCAAACGTCTGCTGAAATCCGAGCCAGCCACTCCGAGGCTAAAGTCCAGCCCTGGTTCTCTCGTTGGGAAACGAGCCAACATGCTCTCTTCTGGGGCAAACCACATGATCACATCACACAGCTATGAACCGCTACATCCTCCGTCAGCATGCCATCGTACCTCCGTCATGCACGCTGTACCCACACATTTTCTGGTGGCCTGCACCAAGCAAGAGCCTGAATTTCTTTCCCAGCCAGTCCCAGACCTGCCAGGCAGGTATGCCTGCCATCCATTTTCATGCCCGACCGACGACAACCCTGCTCGGACGGAACTCAAACCCCATGCCCGTTGCGTTGAATCTTCAGCCGAGCTGAGCCAAGACGAGGCGAGCTCTGGCGGTGCCCCCCCCCCCCCCCCTGCTGCTCCCTCTCTCTGCTCGTGCCTGTCCTTGCATCTCCGTCCAAAGTGCAGCCTCGAAAGAGAGGGCGAAAGAGGTGGGGTAGGAAACTGCAGCATAGAGTCGAACCGCGCCGTTTGAGACACCTTGACGATCCACGCACAACAGCAAAAGCAAGCAGCGGCATCACTTTGGCAGGGTGCCGGTCGGTAATTAGGACGTAGGTGTGCAGAGTGAACGTTCATGCAACTCCACTCGAAGGAAAACAAAGTTTTCGGAAGGATTTGTTTTACGAACGAGATCTGCCAGTTTCTTGTGGCCCTGGTCAGTCGAAACATTGCTACGTCGTACTGACGAGTAAACGTTTATCAGTTCTCTTTTTCCGTTCGATGACTCTTAACAACGGCGATAGGATCGTAGTAGCGTTGTGTCTCTGTTCTGTCCAAAGATCGTTCTTTCCACTGAGCGCTGCTCATGCGTCATGACATCCCACGGCCATCAACCACCACCGCTTTCGTCCTGCTCACCCCACTCGTCTCCATCTACCACTATGATCGACCCGCAATGGACACCCGATTCGTGCGCCTCCGCCTCCTCGAATGAGGTCCAGTGTGGGTTCGCGCCGCCAGCTTCCGCTCCCATGGACGCCGCGCTGCTCCACGGCCTTCCTGGCGGCACCGCCGATACTTTCACGGCACTCTGTGTGGTTCCTTTCGCTACGCCCTTGCACGCCGCCTCGCGCCAACCCTCGAATTTGCCTTCGCCTGGTAAGAACGGTCCCCTCGCGCCGTTCACAATCAGCGTCGTTCCGCAGACCGCCGCATCCCCGCGCGTCAACGGCGCAGCACAGCTCGCAGCATCTTCCGACGTGCTGCCGCTGTGGGTCGGCCCGCTGCACGTGCTGGACGTCAGCACGCACGCCGCGCGAGCCGCGGGGGAGAGCTACGCGGTGCGGCCGCTGTTCGCGCTGCTGGTCTCGTCCGACGCCAGCGCAGGCAGCGGTGCTGCGCCGTGTGGCGAGCAGGAGGACGCGGACCGCGCACTCGGACCGGCGGAGCGCCCACTGATTGTGGCGGCAGCGGCGTCGGACGAGGAATGGACGGCCATGGCGGAGACGTGGAAGGGTGGCGAGGGCTGCGGGGCGGAGGCGGAGGGGGGGTGTGAATGGGATCGAGTGGCGGCGGAAGTGAAGGCGCAAGCGCAGCAGCTGCTGCGCGACTGCGGCCTCGCCGGCGTCGCGCTCACCATCCCCGGCTCACCTCGCCATCGCCATCAGCGCGCGCAACAGATCATTGCCGGCTCGCACCGGCAATGGTGCTCGTTCTCCTCCCCCCACCTCCCGCCTCCCCCCAGCGCTCGCTCCTCTTTTCCTCATCGTGCTGTCCTCCCACTGGCCGTCTCGCCGCGGTCGCCGCTCACCGCGTGCCCTGAGAGTGGCAGCGACGGGAGCAGCAAGGCCTGCGGGTGGGAGGGGCTCAAACGCGGCAACGCGCACGGGAGGAGCGGGATTAGTGGGATGAGTGGGAGGGGTGCGCGGACGCTGCTGCTGGCGGCGTGCTGCGCGGGGCTGGACGGACGGCACCTCCGCACGCACAGCCTCGCCGCCGACCCGCTCGTCTCTGTCGCGGGCGACCAGCCGTCGCCCCTCTCCGCCCTCCCCTCCGCCCTCCCCTCCCCCTGCGCCGTGTCTCCCCCGCCCATTCTGCATGCACCCGGCAGTTTCCGCCGGCCGCCGGGATGCTCCATCGAGGTGCCCTCGTCGCCTGCCGCCGAACCGGAGCGCGCGAGTCCGGGGCGCAGGCTGCGGAAGCTGCTGTCGCCCGTGTACAGCCTCGGGGGCAGCTGGTTCGCCGTGCCGCGCCTCTCCTCCGCCACCGCGCCGCCTCTCGCCCGCAGCGCGAACCCGACGACGAACCGCGGGTGCGTGGGGCGCGAGTCAGGGGCGGATATGAGGGGGCACGACGAGGATTGGGGGAACGAGAACAGGGAAGAGAAGCAGGGCGGGGCGGCGGAACGGGGGGAGCGAGTGGAAGAGGGAGACGGAGGCGAGGCGCAGGTGACTGCGCGCGGGGAGGAGAAAGGGGAGGGGGAACGGGGCGAGAGTGAAGAGGAGGAAGAGGGGGAGGAGGAAGACGAGGGGGAGGGGGAGGGGCAGGACGGGCGCGAGTTGGCGCGCTCTCAGACGATGCGGTCGCTGCAGCGGTCGGCGTCGCGCCGATCCCAGCCGGGCGGGGCGCGCGGCGCAGGGCAGCGCAAGGGGAAAGCGGCGGCGAGAGGCGCGAAGGCGGGCGCGAAAGCATCGGCGCGGTTGGCGATGGCGCGCAGCGCGAGCTTCCGCGTGTACATTGAGACGGGGAAGGACGCCGCGGGCAGCAAGGGCAGGCAGGGGGACGGCGGGAAGGGTCGCGGTCTGTCGCGGCAGAACAGCGCCGTGGGGCGGAAAGCAGTGCAGGAGGAGCGCGGCGTGCGGTACGTGCGCCAGGCCAGTCAGCGGGAGCGGGGGGGAGAGGCGCAAGGGCGAGGGGATGAGATCGAGGGGCCGCGGGATCAGAATGGCGGAGCGGAAGGGGAGGAGGAGGAGGAACCGGGATCGTTCAGGCGCGCGTACAGCGCTCCGAACAGCGAGCGCTCGCTGGCGCGCAGCAAGAGCATGCGGCGCGCGCAAGAGGGAGGCGAAACAGACGTGGGGAGTGAACGACGCGGGGACAACGCGGGGGGGGCAGTTTCGGGAGACGAGGGGAAGGGCGGAGGGAGGGTAAGGGGCAGCGAGCGGGGCGAGGAGCGCAGCGGTGAGCGGCATGGGGGCCAGGATCAGGGCGAGCTGCAGCGGTCGCGCACTCTACCCTCCAAACCCGCCCGCAGCGGGGGAGGCCGGGAGCAAGCGGCGGAGAAGGAAGAGGCGGAGTGGGACAGTGAAGCACAGCGAGAGGCTGAGAGGGCGGAGATGGAGGAAAGGGCGGAGCGGTTGCGGCGGCAGCTGCAGCAGCAAAAGCAGCGGCTGCAGCGGCAGAGCAGTGGGCAGCAGCAGGCGGCGCGCAGCGGCACGGACGAGCAGGCGGCGGGGCTGGCGAAGCGCGGCAGAGAGCTGCTGCGGCTGGCGTCGCTGCCGCGGCAGCAGCAGCTCGACGCGCAGGGAGCGCCGGCGCAGGCGGTGGGGCCGAGGCGGGGGGCGAAGCAGGTGGTGTCGGGGGCGACCCCCAAGCTGCGGCGCACGGGCCGAGACGGCAGCTTCCGCGTGTACCTCGACCTCAGCCCGTGCACCCCCCTCGCGCCCGCCGCTGCCGTTGAGGATAACGCGTCCACGCAGGAAATGCGGCGCGCCGCGACGCACTCGGGAGCTTCGGAGCAGACGCGGGCTGGCGGCGTAGCGACGAGCGGGAGGCATCTGGACCGCGCGGCGAGCATGCAGGAGGGGGGAATGCAGGCGCAGGCGGCGGGCAGCGCCGCGGGCAGGCAGCAGCAGATGCGGCGCGCTGTGACGCACACGGGGACCGCGGAGGAGCGGGTGATGGGGGGAAGCGGCGCGGGGGCAGCGGAAAGGAGGCAAGCGGATGGAAACAGCATGGTGGTGCGGCGGGTGGAAGGGGAGCGCAGGGCGGAGGATGGGGAAGGCGGGGCGGAGGCGTTGCGGAAGGGCGCGGGCGTGGTGGGCGGCGAGAGGGAGCGACTGGCAACGGCTGCTGCTGTTGCGGGGCGCCGTGTGCTCGTTATTGACATCCCCGATAAGGGAGACCTCTACCCCGCCCCGCTCACCGCCCCTGCCTGCACCCTAGATCCCTCCCCCACCGCCGCCGCAACCCCCCCAGTTGCTGCCCCCTCCTCTGCGCGCGCTGCTCCCCGCGCGGCCCCCAGCGGGCAGGCGGGCAGCCGTGCATTCCCTGACGGCAGAAGGCAGCGGGCTGTGGCAGGGGGGCGGGAGCGATGGGCAGGCAAGACGGCAGTTCCAGGGGCCTCACCCGCGTCAGCACGTGTCGTGCCCACGTCAGCTGCACTCACTCCCACGTCAGCTGCAATCACTCCCACGTCAGCTGCAATCACTCCCACGTCAGCTGCTATTACTCCCACGTCAGCAGTGATCACTCCGTCCTCAAGGGCCAGCAGCAAGCCGTCGCCCCGCCCCGCCACACTGCATGCGCCAGCCGTCCCCTCCCCTGGCCCTGCGCGCGCCCTGCTGGTCCCCCCCAGCCACACGGCCCCCAGCGGCCCCCCCGCTGCTGCGCCTCCCCCGCGCATCCAGCAAGCGCGGTCTCTGCCGCCCATCCGTGAGGGCGTGGCGCTGCACGGGCTGCTGCATGCACACCAGCGCGCCACCAGGGGACCCGCCTTCCCCCCTTCCTCTTCCACCCCGCTGGGGGAGGAGCGGATGGGAGCATGGGGAGGAGCGGATGGGGAGCAGGAGGAGGCGGAGATGCAGTGGCAGGGGGAGCAGGCACAGGTGGGGCAGTGGCAGCAGAGGCAGCCGCAGCAGGGTGTGCGGGCGCAGCAAGGGTGGGTGCAAGAGGCGGTGGGCGGTGGCAAGCATGAGTGGCAGCAGTGGGCCGTGGTGCACCCCCATGCTCAGCAGCAGCAACAGGGCCAGCTCTGCTACCCTCCAGATACCCAGGGGCAGATGTACCGGCAGCAGCAGCAGCAGCAGCAGCAGCAGCAGCTGTACCAGCCAAATCAACAGGCGGGTTTCAGCTCCCAGCGCTGGCAGCAGCAACAGCAGCAGTGGAGCGAGGGGCAGTCACCACAGCCCTCGCTCGTTCAGTCTCACTCCTTCAACCCCCAGCAACAACCACAGCAGCGGCAGCAGCAGCAGCCACAGCAGGGTGAGTGGTCGCAACAGCAACAGCCAAAGCGGGTGTCATTCAGGCATGGCAGTGAGCCCGCCTCCCATCTCGTGTCACAGCAGCTGCCCCGTGTCGGCGCCACCCCTCACTACGCACCACCGCAGCATGCCAGCAACATGAGAGTCACCGGTCACAGCCAGCAGCAGCCTTTGCACGGCCCACACGCAGCCTCAGCACGTGCACAGCCTGGTGTGCCCGCCAGCAGCCCGCGTGGAGGCGACGCCTCGCTCACCCGCCTGCTCTCGTGGAACGCCGGCTCCAACTCCTTCGCTGCCGCCGTCCACGCCTGACCCCCATGACTGGTGTGGCTGCGCTGCGTGAGTTTCAAGATACCAGTAACCCCCCCTAAAAAAAAATCCCAAATGTCTATTATGCAGGCATTGCGGGGCGGGGAGGGTCCGTGCGGCTTGTTTTCATTACCTGTCCTCTTCAAATGGGTTTAGGAACCCGGTTCCCGCTTAGTCCCCAGTCAGTGAGTTTAAGGGTGCGGTGTAGAATATTTGTAGGACATTCATATTTACCATGTTATTTCAATCGCCATATGTTGTACCTTTGTATTCTGTTCAACCAAGGCAAGGTTGAGTCCGATGTTGTACACTCAAGAGCATCTGTTTTACTTCACCACTTGGAACAAAGTCTGACCCGCCTTATCGCAGAATTGGTGGCAGGCGAGGACAAACGGCACCAGCACCTGGTTTTTGCCCCCTCCCATTCGATCAGGTGGGCCCTGCTGTTCGGTCTGCCCTGCTCTGTTGCCGCTGACTAACAGTTGCACGCATGGCGCAGCTGAAGAATTCCCATTCGCTCCTCTCCTGCCGCCATGTCCTCACACATGGGGAGACGGAAATGTATGGGTCAGGTTCCCTCTCCAACCCGAATAGGTGTACAGTGCACAATTGAAACGGGTTACCAGCACAGAGACGCCTGAGTCAGGGTTCAGTTCAGGCTAGGTCCTGCCGCCTAACTTAAGACTTGCCCTGCGGCTCGTCTTGGGATGGAAAACAAAATATATTGGCCCAAGTCCTTGTGAGTGACAGCTGGTTTTGCGGCCTGGAACAGCTGTGTCTGATAAGTGCTGGTACCAAACCAAAACAAGGGGGACTGAAATAAAAAACTGCTACACCTGGAGCTCAGGTTTTCTTCTGGTTGGGTGACAGCCTGCCCTACCTGCTTGAGAAAGGCTGAACAGGTGAGGTTGGGGAGGGGAAAGCGACAAACAATGATCGACGGTAGCACACGTATGCACGCAAGAAGGCGGGGCGCAGGATGATCAGTCAATTCACTTCCCTTCCTTCCACTCCGCCCTTGGTTGCACAACTCGCCCTGACCAGAGCCACTTTCACCTGTCTGTGCAGCGTTCTCGTGATGCTTGCTTCAGCTGGAAGTACATAACAGAATCAGCCAAGTGAATTGGATGCGTTGTTTGGAACCTAATTTTTGTTTGAGAGAAGACGCGTTTGTTGTCTCAACCACGACATTCCACGGCTGTCCGTCGCCTCGCCACGATGAATACTTGGAGCTGGCAGGACTCGCTTCGCCAAGCGGCCACCATTCGCACACTGCCGCACGCGTGGAAGGACCACTTTCTTCCGCAGCAGCAGCAACTCGACGCGCAACCACCGCAGCCGTCAGAAGCCTCTTTTGACAAGCTTCTGAATACTTGCAACAGCAGCCCTGCGTTCTCGTCTCGCCTTGCTCTCCTCAACGGTGCCGCATGCGCGTCGCTGCCCGCGCTCGAACCACTTCCACGGGGCGCGGAACTGGTGTCGGTAAGGGCAAGTTACGACCAATTATCCCCAGCCTTGTCGTTCAGCCTGTCAGCGGCGCACTGCCAGCCTCCCGTGCCCTCCCCGGCGAGCGACACAGAGCCTGCGGCTGAATTCATGCGAACGGACGAGACGCAGCAGGGGCAGAGGTGCGAGTGGGAGGGGGAATGGCGCGAGACGGACGAGTTGATGTCTCCGCGGAGCAGCACGGGCAGCTGCTGCGACCCCGACGACCTCGACTCGCTGCTGGAAGCACCGCGCGCCTTCGGTCAGCTTGCGTGGGAATCCGAATTCCATACTCAGTCGTCTCATTCTCGCAGCAGCTCCTGCGATCTCGCTCTGCCGCCCAGACATTCGCCGTCCGCCTCTTGCGACTCCCGCATCTGCATGGAACTGCTCAAATCAGCCAGCTCGTGCTTCGCGGCGAACCCTCTTTTCCAACTTAGCTCCCAATGCGTAATTGACGGCGAGGGGATTCGCGAGTTGGTGTTGTGGTTACTCCAACAAGGCTCGGGTCATGAACACGACATGGTGCCGCAACTGCAGCAACTCACGGCGGTTCTGGCGGAATCAGAGGCTCGAGAGGGCGCGGTGCAGGGCGGGGGGGTTGCGGGTGTACAGGCTGACGAGCAGCTGAGCAATGCAATCCGGCAAGTGTTGCTGATGCAGGCAGCCTGCTTGGCCATTCCAGCAGTAGAATTCTTTTGATTTGTTCATTCTGTATATTGTAGAACGTACGTACAGATACCGTACGTGTGGCGTCCAGTTACGTAGTTTTGTAAAATGAGATGTTGCCAAAGCAATTGTGATTGATAATGGCTTCAGATTGCACCGTACTATGCTCCCCAAACAGACTGTACCAGAACTGACTCGATACTTTTTACTCAGCACTGATTATTCCATACCTATTTTGTACGGAGGGTGGTTGTGGCTAAATGAAAAAAGGCCCTGCTTGACTAACCCTCCACCTAGTACATCAAAATTCCTCAAGCTAGTTGATGGTCGAGATGGACTGGACTGGATGCCCCCCCCGATTAAATTCCAGACCCAGCTTGTCCTACGGTAATTGCTAAGCACCTCAACTAGAATTCATTAGATGTGGGAGGGTCTTAAAGCCGGCGGCCCAAATTGTTCATGCTTTTAAAAGTTGACCAGAGGGAGTTTTTCTGGTGTGGGCTTTGGCGAGAGTTTCCGATTTCGTCTAGGTTCGTTTTTTTCGCGAGACCCAGCCAACCCTCGGTTTTCCCCCTGGTGAGTGAATCTGTCTTCGAAAGTCCCAAATTGCAAGTGCGTGACTTTCAAAAGCTTGGACACTCAACTTCGTCAAGTTTTAAAAACTTGACCCTCGCGGCCCGCAATTTGGGACGCGGGCTTTAACGGAGACAGCAATCTTTGTTAAATTGCTACTTGAATATCAAGAATCAAACATACGGTACTGTATGCTTGTTCTCAAACAGTGAGAATAGTCCATTACCGTATGGCCCCGGATATAGGCGCCGTCCGGTTAAGGGCGCCGGCGCTTCTATCTGGAGCATGGCGCTTATGGCCGGAACTCGATTATAAGTGCCCCCCCCTCTAGAGGGTGTACTTATTATAAGCGCACCCCTTTCACGTTGTGGAGGTCTCTGCTAGAATATATCTGTAACTGCCTGTAGCTTTAGTTAGTGTAGTTATTATAAACTTGTTGGTGGTGCAGCTTCTTTGCATACTTTGTTTGCTATTTGTACCTCGCTCAATAGTGAACTCATCCTCCTTTTGGCTAAACTCTCTCGACTCCCTTTGGCCTAGGCCACTAAGCCTAGGCCCTACCCTTACTGTTCAACATGGTATCAGAGCAGGCACCTTCCTGCTGCCTTCCTTAACGGGCCCACCAAGTCTTCCGCTGCTGCCCTGCCTATCGCGCGCTATGGGTGCGCGGCGGTTTTCTGCCCGTCGCGCCGCCCTGCTGAACGCGCGACGCCCTGCCTGCCCGTCGTGCGCCCCGAGGTGCGCGACGGTGCCCCGCCTGCCTGCCCGTCGTGCGCCCCGAGGTGCGCGACGGTGCCCTGCCTGCCTGCCCGTCGTACGCCCCGAGGCATGCGGCGGTTTCGTCGCCTGTCGGGCGCACCGGGGGCCCGCGCACCCCCCCCCCCCCCACCACTCTGCCTTTTCCCGTCTCCCGTCGCGGCGCCCTGGGGGGCCGGGCGACCTAGGGGGGGGCCGCACGTCGCCCCTTCTGTCGCCCGTCACGGCGCCCTGGGGGGCCGCGCGTCGGCCCCTCCCGTCTTCGTCGCGGCCCTGCCCTGCCCTGTCGTCCTGCCCCGGCCCTGTCCCGGCCCTGCCCTGCTGCCGCCCCTGCTACGGCCCTGCCCTGTGTTGGGGTTTGGGGGTGGTGAGGGTGGTGTGTTTCCCTTCCCCTCCTCCTCCTTTCGTTCCCACTGCTGCAGCTGCCGCTGGGGGGGAGGGTGTGAGGGTGTGGGGGAGCCAGGGGAGTGGCATTGGGGCGGCGGGTGTGAGACCAACCAGCCCCCCCCCCCCCCCCCCCCCCCCCTCCCCCCCCCTTCTTCGTCTCCCACTGCTACAGCTGCTGCTGAGGGGGGTGGATGTGTGGGAGCCTTTGGAGTGGTGCTTGGGGGGTGGAGTGTGAGTGGAGTGTGATGCTGTTTTCTCTGTTCATGGTGTACCCATCCAGGATGTGTTGCTGCACAGACTCATGCTGCAGGCAGTTATGGGGGAGTGTTAGAATATATCTGTAACTGCCTGTAGCTGTAGTTAGTGTAGTTATTATAATCTTGTTGGTGGTGCACCTTCTTTGCATACTTTGTTTGCTATTTGTACCTCGCTCAATAGTGAACTCATCCTCCTTTTGGCTAAACTCTCTCGACCAGGCCCTCAGAAGTCAGCGAAAAAAGGCTGATTAGGGGTAAAAAGGCTGTGATTTCAGTGGTGGGAGAATAGTGGGGCTGTTGTGGCAGCTTTTTTTTAAGTGTGTTTGCTGAAATTTCAGGGTTTTTAAATCTGTATGTGCTGAAATATCAGCTTTTTTCCTGTCGTGTACGCTGTCTCATCAGAGTTGTAACGAAGGGGTTGGCTGAAATCCCTGTAATGGAGATTAGCGTAGGTGCCCTGAATTCCGGATGTCTAGGTACACCGGTTCGACCGTCCCTCCGTCAATCACGCCGAAATGGCAAGATTCCTTGCCAACGCATTCGGGAATGGTCATTCACGAACTTTCACTCCACTGCTGTCTTCTCGCGAAGGTATCTTGGCTCAAGGATACGGTAGAGATTCTTCTTTCCTGTACCAACTGTAGATGAAACCCCCACTGGTCGCAGACTGTCCGCTTCTTTCTCACCCACCTGGATCTTCACTCCCTTCACCTTCGCTTTTCTCGCTCTGAGCATCTCCCCACTCTCGGCGCCTGCATCGCTCGCAGCAGCCCCTCCCTCTCGTCCCTCCACTTGGAGATGCAAGGCACTTGTACTGGACACCTGTAGAGTAGAAGTGGTTCTTCTTCTACTCTACAGGTGTATTTCTCGCCTAGCGTCATTCCCTCATCGCGCAGCCTCACCTTCCCCTCGCTGCGCCATGCTTCCCTTTCCCCCCGTCGCCATGGCGCCGTGCGGGCCGCGTTCGCCAGCGAAGCTGGCGTCGCAGCTGGTCGTCGCTGTACGATGATCCGTGAGCCCGTGAGCTGCACTTCTCGTTCGTGCATATTCCTTGACGGGAATACCCACTCCTTTTCAGCCCGTGAGCTCAGCTCAGCAGCAACGCCATCTTAGTAGGTACGAATCTACAGACATTTGTTTCTCGTTACTCCTCATCGCCCCCCGCATTTGGTTCCCTCGTTTCCGTTTGATCAGGCTGAGACGGAGAGAGTGAGCTGCGAGGGAGATAGTTAGCTGCGTGGGAGAGGGAGTTGCGAGGGATAGAGGGAACCGCGATTCCGCTTTCACTCCCTCGTGCTTCCCGTATTCCTCTCCGTATTTTCTCCACCCGCATCCCTCTGCAGCTCTCCTCTGCAGCCCATCAGTGCGGCAGCAACACACCAGTATGCCCAATAGGTAAGTACGATTTAGGATAGAGATATTTCTTTTCTGCTCCCTTTCCTTTCCCCTCGCAGAGCCAAACTTCCGCGTCGTTCCCTGCAGCCTCCAGTCGTCCCGCATTCCCCTCGTCGCACAGCCTCGCCTTCCCCTCGCCTCGCCGATTGTCTCTTTCCCCCGTCGCCATGGTGCCTCACGGGCTGCGGTCTGCCCGTGAAGCTAGCATGGCGGCGGTCGTCGCTGGCCGCGGCGCTCTCTTTAGGCTCTAGTGATAGTGAAGAGGGTGATGATGATGAAGAGGATGAGGATATGTTTAATTAGATTTCCCTGTAAACGTTTGTTATATCAATGCAGAACTTGTTTGAAATGGTTCAGTCTTCACCAAATAGTGACGCTGATCGTTCAGTTTTTTTTTTAATATACACCCTGAAAAGTCAGTTTTTTTTTAAACAACAACACTGACAGATCAGCCATGAACACACTCCTAAGGTTGACCAGTCAGCCTATGCCAAAACGAATCTGAGGCCCTGCTCTCGACTCCCTTTGGCCTAGGCCACTAAGCCTAGGCCCTACCCTTACTATTCAACAGTCTCATTATAAAAAAAAACATCAACAATTAACACTAAACATGAGCATGATAACTTTTCACCTACAACATCATCGCTGACAGTTTTATCTTGTTAGAATTTGAAGTGATTGAGTAGGATCGTATACTTAGGATGGTAGCTTCCTGTTGCAATGGAAGTCTTTGTATGGATTAAAGCCAGTGTAGGAGGCTTTGTTTGAGCTTAATATCCAAAGCCCATGTAGTGATACGTTTCAGGATCTACCGTAAGGCCCCGGATAGAAGCGCAGACATCGGATAAGCGCCGGCGGTTGTAAAAGGGTGATGGCGCTTATATCCGGTCCTCGATTATAAGCGCACCCATGGAGGCTTACGGATTATAAGCGCACCCCTGTTGTGTGACACATTATAAGCGCCTCCCTTTTTTATTTCGACTATTTTTATCCTATCTTTTACAAGCTATTTTCACTACAACATAATATTTTCCAATTCTACTACGGTACTAAATCCTACTGATAGTTTACCGCAACATTCACTAATCTTCTCTAGAATCCTATGCATTCTTTTCTTCCTAGCATCCTATGCATCACCATCAACAGTGGCGGAGCCATCTTGGTCGGTCTCCCCGTCCGACTCTGGCTCCTCTACGTTGTTGCAGCAGAATCCATCGGCTGCAATCTCGTCGTCAAGTTCTACTTCACCCTTGACGGCGTCCCGCCGGTGCTGCATGCAGAGATTGTCCTGGGACCCATCCAGGGCGTTGCTGATGCCACAGGTGAGAAACGAGCGCTGAATCTGTTGGGCTGAGAAAAGCCCTTAGGATCTTTGCAGGACTAAATTCTGAGTAGGACAATGTAATAGCGGAAGCGTCTTAATGAGAACTTATGAACCACCTTGCGCTAGTATGTGAGGGCAAAGTAGATTAATTAATAGCAAAGAAATACAAGCTTTTATAAGAATACAAAGGAATATGAAGGGTTATAACCAATAACCGTTTTACCGTTGCTGTTGCGGTTCGATACAGTGACGACTCGGGCAACTGCTCAATAGCGAGTCAGTTGTTTGTCCTTGCAGTCGCGCTGTACTTGTCAGGTCAAAGGTCGCTCACCTTTGACTTTCGCGTAACCTCCAGCAGTTGTTCAACTTCCGAGGGTTGACTCGCTGATGCTTCGATATGTTCTGCTTCGCTTCTGACTTGGTGTTTCGACACGACAGAGGCGCTTAAATCAATTGTTTCCAACACTCCCCTTCGCTTCTAGAGTGTCGCTGCTGGTGACGTGGCTTTGTCCAGTCAGCAGCATGCAGTACTCGAACTTCTGCTTCCCGAGCTTCTTGGTCAAGTAATCAGCTGCCATCTCGGACGTGGGACAGTAAGACAGCTCAAGTCTCCCCTTCTCGATCTCGTCCTTTACGAAGAAATATCGCAGGGCGATATGCTTCGTCCTGTTCGCGAATCCGTTTTTGTTGGCTATGCGAATTGCCGACTGGTTGTCGCAGAACAAGGAGAAGCTGGGTAACTGAGCCAGCTTCGCCTCCTCCAGGAGTTCGCGAAGGTACAGTCCTTCCTTGGTTGCTGAGCAGAGTGCGATATATTCAGCTTCAGCTGAAGAGAGAGCGATTAATTCCTGTTTGCTCGACTGCCACGAGATAGGTCCGATAGGCTCGAGGCGGTAGATGTAGCCTGTGCGCGAGCGCCTGTTGTCAGAATCTCCGGCGTGGTCTGCGTCGACGTAGCCAATTAACTTGGGCGTTGTAGTTCTGTTCTTGTAGTAGGTTAGGCCGATCGTTGGAGTGCTAACGAGGTAGTGAAGAGCGCGGTCGAGTTCCGTCATGTGTTCGGCTTCAGGCCTTTTGAGGTAGGTGGCGAGTTGGCTTGCGGAGTATGATAGATCCGGGCGGCAGGTGACAGCCGCAAAGAGAAGGCATCCCAGCTTTCTCTGGTAGTCGCGTATCCTGGCGGGCTTTAGTGGAGCGGATCCTGCCTTGTTATTTTCTGCCGTATAGCGGTATGGCGTGGAGATGGTAGTTGGCGTGAGTGCGAAGCGTTTGGCGATGGTGTCGGCATATTTAGCGGCGTTGAGGTAAATCGCGCTTTCTCTTTCCTGGATGTTGAGGCTGTTGGTGCAACCCTACGGTTTGCACTCGGCTTGTTGTCCGTGTGCGTGAATGTGTGTGTGTATGGAATGGTATGAGGGCATGGGATAATATATATTTCATGCTTATAATTGTGTGTGAATGTTGAGTCATGATGTCGAGTGTGTGTGTCGAGTCAATAGCGAGTTATCGCTAGACGCGTGTTACGCGGTCTTTTGTGTCTCGCGCGCGGTTTCTATTTTGTCGTGCGCGGTTTCTATTTTGTCCTGTGTCGAACGTTCAGCGTGTCGCAGGTGTGTGCAGCAGACCCATCAAGAACTCAAGGATGAGTTTGTGATGAAGAGCCCGAGCCTTGGTGTCAAGCCTCAAGTGATTTCGAAGCTCGCCAAAAGGGTGCACCTCAAGATATTGAAGATAGTTACATTACTTTGTGTAGTGTAACATTTCACTTGGTGTAGGCCCTAGTGAAGGGTAGTTTCGAGACCCTTCGTGGTTGGGGACAGTGTGGCACTGTTCCACATCACTGTACCTCGGCTCTTGGGGTTTGTAGGAGCTGGGAGTCATTCCCAACTCGTAACTCTTCCTATCTTGTGTTCTAAGACTATAGTGGCTGCCATAGTACCGTTCGTTCAAACCGACGCTGTGTCGTCAATTCTTTATCAAATCGTGCAATCTAAATTGCTAATTGTAGACGACGTGAAGACGCTCCAGATCCAATTTGAATCAAGTCATTTGCAGCTGTGAGCAGAACGCTATCAACGTTTGAAGCCGCTGTGCAGAAATCCGTCTGTGCTCTCTATCTTTCGTTTTAGGCACATTCAAGCCTATTGTGACTATAACAAGTGGTATCAGAGCCCTTGGAGCAGTTTCGACAATGTCTGGACCTGAGGAAAGGGTTGGCAGAGGTGCTGGTGGCAGTGGAGAAGCTCAAGCTCAAGGCCAACCCCGTAATTCAGCCATGGCGCCCATGCAACCAAGTCTTGGCCCACCTAGGGATGAGCCTAGGGTGTTTGGGCTTGACAAGTTCAACGGTGACAACTTTGCTGAATGGTCCTTCAAGATGGAGAACATCTTTGACCACTATGACCTGCTGGAGGTGATGGAAGGAACGGAGAAGCGCCCCGAGAACGACCCGGAGAAGAGCCCGTGGGTGCGGAAGAGCGCACAAGGCTATCTCTTACTTGGGCAAGCGTTGGGGAGCAGTCAGATCCGTCACATCAAGCCATTCCAGCGTGAACCAGAGAAAGGACCAAAGGCATGGGCTGCTCTCAAGGGTGTACATGCTCCTGCAACAGCGGCGGTAGCGGTGGTGTTGGAACGGCAAATGGCGGCACTACGAACTGAAGAAGACGAAGCGGTTGAAGAAGGGGTGCAGAAATTCTTCGACTTGTTGACGCGGCTTGAGGGAGCTGATTTGAACTACAGTGAGCTCCAAAAGAAGACCAAGTTGCTGGCCTTACTCCCAGAGTCATGGTCCTCGCTCATCATCAACCTTAATCGCGACTTGCCCCGCCTCTCGCTTGAAGACGTGAAGCGAGCTATCCTTCAAGAGGATTTCCGCCACCGTGAGTTGGCGAGTGCGGATGGCGCTGGGGCAGCGAGCATCGGCCGTGGATATGGTCGAGGAAGAGGCAGAGGACGAGGGGGAGGAAGGTTTGGTGGCAGCAACTTCGGCGGAGGCCGCAGGAGTGGCGGTTACGGCAGCGACGACAAGAGCTACGGACGCGGTCGCGGCCGATTCGACGGCGAGTGTCACTATTGCCACAAGAGCAGGCACATATGGCGCGACTGCTACAAACTCCCTGATGGTTGGACCCCTGCTCAAGGCCAAGAGGGTAGAGGAGCAGGAGGAGGGAGAGGACGAGGCCGTGGAGGCCGTGGCGGTCGCGGTGGCGGAGCTGCAAACATGAAGAGCGGAGACAACGACAAGGACCCGAGCGACGATCGATACCCGGGTCTATTCTACTTCGTGTCGACGCAAGTACCGGCTGGTCCAGAGAAGGATGAAGGATTTGAGGAGCCAGCAGCTGTGGGGAAGGTGACCCTACACCCCCTGGACTATTGGGTGATTGATAGTGGCGCTACCTATAGCATGACACCTCGCCTGGACTTGCTCACCGAACTCGAGCCGTCACCGGTGAAGCATGTCACATCGGCTTTGGGGCAGCGAGCAGAGGTGAAAGGCATGGGCAAGGCCATGTTCAAGGGTGCTGATGGGAAGATGGTGGGCCTCAAGAACGTGCTTTGGGTGCCCAGCCTTGCTGCAAACCTGATTTTCGTGCGGCGGTTGGCAAAGGCCGGCATGGACACGAACTCGAAGGGAGCCAAGACCTACACCGCAAGGCTTGGCGATCGAATT